TATTAAATTAAAAGATAGTATGTTTAGAGTCTTCTACTTCACTCTTTAAAACCAGATATTAGAGAGGATCAGCATAAAACTTTATTCTGGATTTCCTAGCATTAGTTTTTTTAAACGTAATTTTTCAGATTATTTTATGAACAACTGAGATTTTCTCAGTGTTGGTATGGAGCATATTTAATGTCACTATTCACCTCCACTTAGTTACCAAATAATAGGTATTACGTTTTAACACTGAAGGGCATGTTTTTCCTTCTGTTTTTCCATATATTAAGCTATCTTGTAATAATCTTCACTTTTTACATTTCTTTCAATATTTAATTTTTTTAAAAAAATAATTTTCCTCGGGGCATTTAATTTTGAAAAGAATACTGTTAGAGTACATAAATTTTCCCCAATTTCTATGGATCTGCAAGACATGTAAGATTATAAACATGCTCCACTGATTTCATTAAAATAAGCAATTCAGTGCTGTAAGTTAGATTAATAGCTGAAGGAAATATTATTTAGAAAAGATATTTAACTTGCCTTGCTAATACTGAATCTGAAATATAAGAAAACCTACCTTGCATGTTTAAAAACTGTGTGAATAAGAAGTTTCTGCTATAGAGCAGAAACATGATGGCAACTGTTTTTATTTATTTGATACAAACAGGTTGATAATATTTAGGAGCATCTGCTGAAATAATTTAAGGCCCCAAACTTGCACAGAACTAACTAGAGGCTTAGCTGTATCTAAGATTAAACCTACTGGTGTTAACAAGGGCTATTATTGGGTATTAAGTCTTTCCATTTTATAAATTCTATAAAAATGTTATGGAAACAAACACTTCGGTATTAGATCAACTTTAGAAAGTCATATGCTATTTCATTTTTTTAAAAATTAGGTATTTTCCTGACATGAAAATTACAACAAAAGAATGCATCTCAAACATCATAAATTATTGTTATTTTAAACACAGAATGAAGACTCCCTTGAAAATAAAAAAAGCTTACTAAAAACAACAACAAACTTCTGGGGCAGAGTACAGTGCTCAATATGGAAAAGTATTTTGGAGATATCTATGATTACAGGATATTCTTCAAAAATGCATCTTGTATACAGAGCCCAAGTGAATTTAAACCCCCGATTTTCTTCCCCTATAATTTGTTTTAAACTTGAATAACCTATTTTTGCATACTTTTTAGAAATGTATGTGTATATAATATGTCTGGATACAGATACATTTTATTTTTTTTTTGCTTAACACAGAAGTCTCACAGAATTTCCTCACTATATTAATAACCTACCTGATGAGCCAAATCCACCAAGTGCAGAGCCGATAGCTGCTCCTAAAGAGCTGCTACTTCCAAAGCCAAGAGATGTGCTTCCTGGTTGACCAGGACCATGTGAAAAAAGGGAACTGCTCTGGGAGTTATTGGTCAAAGAGTTACTGCCATAAAATGAATTGGATTGTAGGCTACTATTTGTTTGCTGTTGCTGTTGTTGTGGCTGGGCACCAAGTGGCCGAAATAGACCGTTCGTGGCTCCCGCGAGATTGTTTGCTGTTCCTCCAGCTGAAGCAGCTGCAGCTGTAAAACACATGTTTTCAATCATAATTACTCTCTCAAACATTGCTGACTGAAAATGGACTATTCAGATCTAAATTATATTTTCTTGAAGCCCTCTTAAGCAAGCAGAAATTCACATATTATAGGACTAAAAGAGACTATAGTATTACACAGTCTTAATTACTCGAGGAAAAAAAATGAAGACAGCATGTGTTTGTAGGCTAATCAAGGCTGTAGAATTGTTAATGTAATTGAGGGAATTTTCAGTGTAAACATATAAGACATTACCGTTTACTGAACTTTATATCCAAAGTTGCAATAGCAGAGTTGTAGCTAAGAGTCATTCAAAGACATCTTCAGCTACTAATGTCAGAATCAAGTTCTGCATATAGAAAGAAGCTTATAGGTTAATTTAAAATCTAATTTTCTGAGCAGATTAATTTAATTAATCTGGTGTTAGTATTTTGGATTTTAATTTAACAAATGCAATACATACAATGGTTCAGTAAAGTAGTACCAGACCCTACCATTGATAAAAAGAGAAAAAGAAAACTAGAGACTTTTGATATAACTAATTCTCCTCTTCTGCTGCCCATTCTATAGTTTTTTTCCCTGCCACACTTTTCAGCAGAAAAGCACAGTAGGGCCCCAGAGCACTCCATCATCTTCTGCCAGGCCGAAGCAATGAAATGATGCTTCCTAGAGGACACCATTTAGGGGATTGATGAGAAGTGCATGTCATATGCATAGGGAGAGGAAAGGGGGAAATGTTCGTATCTGACAAGCAACAACATTTGCAGAAACATGCCTGTATATGTATGGGGAGAGGACTGTAAATTTGAATTAAAAAAGGAAAACTACATCTCTCTGAGAAACAGCAATGTCTCTCAGAGAAAGGGAGGGAACAGAGTAAGAACAAGAGCATGGATGGTATATCCTTCACAACTGCATACAAAACACATGAACCAAATACTAATCAACCAACATGACTGTTAAGATTCAGTACAAAAGTGGAAGAAGCCTCCATGCAGGATCAAATACTTACCTGCTTGTGCTGCTGCAGAACTGATTATAACAGGAGTTGAGGCTACCAATCTGACTGGTGCTCCGAGGCCAGTTCTCGCTCCAGGGCCTACTACTAAGGCACCAGTCTGATCGTAATAGGCTGTGGGAGCTAGTACTTGATAGCCTACACAAGATAGATTACAAGAATTAGTAGTACACATAGTCTCATATAGTCAGCATTTCTTCTCTCCTTGAAATATTCTGACAACAAACTACAAGAGGGGAAAACAGCATTTCTATCATATTGCCTTAGAACGTTAACTGGACATCAAAAGAAAAAACAGTGAACACCGTAAAATGGTGACAAAATCTTATTTAGGAATGCACTACCTAATTTTTTAAAACTCGAATAACAGCTAGATTTAGTAGCCTAAGGTTGAGTTTTGTTTTCAAGGTTAAAAAAGTTTCTAATGCCATAGTGAAAAGGTACAGGAACAACACAACTGGCCATATTTGGATGATTATCAGATCAACTTTTTTTAGCAATTTAAAGTATTCTACATTTCTCTTGTACTCCTTTGTACATGTAAAAGGTATTGAAATCTGTACGATTAAAGGGCTGAACTAAATGCAGGTTTGGCAATTCCATACATTACCTAGCCACACTTAAAAGTCTATCTACAAAAACACATTAGGAAAGGAAAGCTCTAGGTGCAGGAATACCTTGGACCAGTCGGTTTCACACAAAAAGAGACTGTAATCCAAGTATAATTTCATTCAGTTGACAGTTAAGAGTTGGAACTGGAGGAGAAAGAGGAGGAGGAATTGAAAAAGGAGAAAAGCAAGTAGTAGGAAGGAAAACAGGATACAAGATATGAATGAAAGAAAGCAAGAGAGACAAAAAAAGCAAACCAAAACCCCTTTATTTAGGACAAGAGCAAGATAATTAATTTTAAAGCTCTGACACCTTATAATGAAGTAGAAGAACTGGAATAAGAATCCCTATAAAATGGAAGGCAAGAGCTAGGATAATCTAAGAAAGGGTGCTCACAATGGAAAGAAAACACCATCTAATTTTTAGGTTGACTATTCTTATAAAGCAATACAACAAAAACCCAAGAGAATTTCAATATTCCTCCCATGTTCAAATATATACTAATGCTATTAAGAAAAAAGTCAAGATCGCAAAAATCACACATCTTTTTTTGTAGGTGTAAGAACCAAGATTTTGCATACTATTTCAGTTTCCATCTATGTTCAGAGCCAGGTTTAGCAGAGTTCTCTCTGAAATACATATGGACCTGAACATAGAGACCTGGGCCTTTTAATTCCAGGTGAGTACCTCAATCACCATGTTCCCAAGTTATATTTTCTCCTCCTTTATTTCTAAAACATCTGCATAATCTCTTCTGCCTAGATGCTTTGCTCCAAAAACACAGCTGGAAACACCATCTGCCTACTGGGCTGGGTGGTTATGGTTCTCTGCAGGGAAGCTGGAGACAGGGGTCCAAATTCTCTCACGCTTAAGAAAATCTGAAGATATGAAGAAGACTCAGTAACTGAACAGGAGAGGAGTGATGAAAATCTACATCTTTATGTCCAATTCACAGTTCTGGAGATGAATGCACTATATGGTTATGAAAACTTGTCATTCCTATCATTCCAAACCTGTTTGTTCTCACTGCTCACTACTTGTTTTGCATTCCAGGTACATCTACATTCTCTTTCCCACCAACAGCACAGGAAGACAGTTGTCCTCCACCGAGTTTGTCTGAAAGCTTGGCTAGGTAAAAACAACCAAAGCAGGTTCTTACAAATGAATTGGTTAGGAAACCTTCACTGTAGGTGCCGCTGCCTCTTCCACCTACAAAACTGTGCTGTGCTACTCTACCGCCTTCGCCACTAAGAAAGACTGCTACACTCCCAAGGTAGGGAAAGGTGAGAGTGACTGCTGTCTGTTTTACTTAGTTCTGTAGAGAACACAGCATAAAATGTTAGATTAGTGGCACAGCAGGAAAGCTCTAATACCACATATGCTCCTGCATACATTAGCAAATTACTAGTACCTAAATTGTTTCTACTTTTACTCATAGCACATTCAATTGATACCATGTCGGTCCTGCCATTTGTTACTGCTGTATCATGTAACACTTTTTCAGAACCCAGAATTGGCTAATACTTACTTACCAGTATTTATACTCTGTCCACCTACTTTTTTCAAATGTTCAAACCTACGGATAATGTTATAGCTATATAAAAAAGGACTGATCATATATTTACACCCTTGTGCTCACCTGAAACTAACACAAAGCAGTTTATATGACCTCAGGCCCACAATGTAAACAAGCCTATTTTCCAATGCAAAATACCTGGGGGGGATGGCACACAACCCAAAAAGGCTTCCCTCTTACCAAACATAAGATGGTGACTTGCCAGATGATCTCCTCTCTAATTCCCTCTCTCCTCCTGTTCCATTTTTGTATTACCTCTCCATCAACTGCTGTACAATTTTCCCTCCAAATTAACAACTATCAAAGCTCATTTCAGTGTCTTTACATTCAAGCTTACTGTGGTCTCCCACTGCAACCAAAAAACTAAAGCATACTCTTTGCTTCCTAATCAGTTTCTAATCACACTTTTTATTATAGAATTCAACTGCTCTATCTACACTTACTGTTTCCAGATCAGCAGGGAACATGAAAGTAAACAATCTGGTTTACCAGTACTGTGCTTTGCTGAAATGATTTCTAAATGTCTCCAAAACCACAGACTGAGAACTTTCTGGATTCTTTTCACACAAACCTTAAATGTTCTTCAAGAATGAGAGGAAATCTGTTCTCTTGGCTCGTGCAGCCCATCCTTAGTGTTGCTCTTATCCATCCAGTAACTTCTTCAGTGTCTTTCAATGGATACTTCACACTCTCTTCTCACATTTTTGTATGTAATACCACAAAGCTCTGCCCAGATCTCCTACTCCCTTCCCTCTATGCAACTTCCCTCACTGATGACACCCAAACCTATGTCAGAGTTTGACACCTCTCTCTATTCAATGTAACAGATGTGACACTTCTTACTGCCAACTCAATTATCTGCCCCTTTTAACACTACCCTGACACCTCTCTCTCTCTCTCCACCCAGGAGCATAACCTGCAAGTCACTGTAGAGTCCTCTCTCCCTATGTAGGAAATGTACAGCTTCTCCCTTCTTGACGTTCCCAAGATCCAATTATTTTCCTCTGCATACAGATTTGAACTTTTATTCAGCTCTTAATCTTCCATCTTTCCTTAAATGCTGCAGTCTTTACTTCAGTCTCCCAGGCTCACCAAAACCTAAAGCCCTACCACCATGTTTGTTCTGACAAAGATATGCACAGCCTCATCTCTGCACTTGTCCTCTCACAAATCAAATTCAGAACTTACTATCCTACCAGTAAATGATTTATACCTTCTATAACTGTCATAAGTTTGCCAATATTGCAACTCTCCATTTGCCTTCCACAGTTAAATTTGACTTCTACTTCATACTACCTGGAGGCACAGAATGCACAACCCACTGCAATGTCACGCTTTAAATTCCTCTAGGTAATAAAAAAAGGAATGCCAATACACAGAAATTGTTCATTTTCATGTTTTATACACGTTTTTCAGACAACTCAATATATGTGTCCACCTGATGCACTATTACAGTCAGTGCCACCAGCTTCACTTCCATGAATTCAATAAAACTAAGTTGAACCTGATGCAGCCAAAGCAGCCACAAAGCCTCAGGAGAGATTCAGCTGCTTGACACCCATTTTAGGGTAAGCTGAGCAGCTCTGCAGCCTCTGTGGAGCAACTGCATTTGGGATATCTTCACTGAGCGCAATGGCTCCTCAGACAAATGAGGTCACATGCAGATTCCTGAATTTGGATGACTAAGCCAAGTCCAGCCTTGTCTGTGATAAGGATTGGGTTTATTCGTAGAAGAATGTATACTCGTCATATTATGATGAAATTGGGAGTACCCTCTGACTTTGTCTCACAGATTTGTTCAAATATTTAAGAATCCTTGTTATTGAAAGACTTGCTAAATTAGGGTTGGAAGAATTTAAAAACTAAGTACACAACTCCAATGCAAAATGTACTTCACTTTTGATGGTTTTAAAAAAGAACCTGAATTTTTCTGAAGAGAGACTTAAGTATTTCATACACTTTCTCTTTGCTCTTAGGATGAGATATGCACCTTAAGTGCCACATGAATACACCTCCCTAAGTAATTAACACAGAAATACTTGAAATATCAGTATCCCATAGTTGGGACAGCTCATTAATTTCATCTAACATGAAGGCTGTACAAGAGGAAAGCAGCTGAAACAATTAAAAGACAGCAGTATGGACAAGCTAAATAATACTCTCATTTATTAGCTTGCAGTGAAACCAAAATGCAAATATTCTCTCTGTAAAGAATATTCAAAAGCTTGAAACTCATTTTGGACCTACAGTTTCTGGTAAAACACCTAAGTCCATTGAAACAAGAATTCCACGCATTTTCTGCTTGTTTATTACATTATACATGTTGTTCAGTGATTACTACCTGGGATTTGCTTAATCTTATTTTGTTATCTAGATGTCATTTAATGATCTTGACTCAACTTTATATTAAGGTGAATAGAAAGAGGTGCCTCTGGAGCAAAACCCACTTTATCCTAAATCAGGTAACTAAAACAGTCGGATGAATCAAGACTAAAAGTTCCTATTTCTCTTCACCAGCTATAAAAAGGAGCATTAAATATGTAGCTCAAATACATACATCTAAACCAGTATCATGATTCCTATCTAAAATGGCGTATCTTCATTTCATCATCCTATAGTCGTCATCTTCACCTAAAAAGAGGAATCACTAGTGCTCCCTATGACTCACCACAAAACCAGCTTATGATGACTGAGAAAATAAATGTCCTTTTTGTTCATATTAGGAGCCTCATTCCTTGTAAAAGCGTGACCAGTAAGGTTGAAAGCCAGTTGCACACAATTCCTATTATAGAACAGCCTGAAATACATTCACATGAATAAAGTTTTTCTCTGGCCATCCAGGCATGCAGCAGATGGCAAGCAACCTACAATGGAAACCTAAAAGAAGCAACCTACAATGGAAACTCAACAAAAAGGTTCCTGCCCTCACAGAAAATCTCTTGGGGCTTGTGGGGGAGGAAAAAAGTCTTCAATCTTCACAGGAGAGGCTCCTGCATTACCGAGTTTATGTATTTGACCACTCAGTATTATTTACAATCACCCGTTTGGAGAGGGGGCCTTTTTGTGGGTTTTAAGAACTACCCTTGAATTATTTAAGATAACTTCTTTTTGAAAATAATGTTATTTTTAGGTCTTCCTATAACGTAGTCACAAATTTAGGCTGGGTCAAGGTCTCAGACAATGATCCGACTCAAACTAAATGACACAGGCTTTTTACAAGGCATGGACCACCCTGCAGTCTTAGAGATCCATGTCCAAAGCAAGAACTAATAAATAACTACAAACAAAAACACCTCCCACCCCAAAACACAAGCAAAAAGTATAGCTAATCCTTTGAGGCTTTTGTGAAGATCTACTAACACCAATATTTTAACTTTCAGTGATTCTCTTAATCCACTGGTAACATACATACCTGGCATGCCTGTAGCAAGACCCTGACCAAAAGCCAAAGCTGGATTTGCTGCTGCAGCTGCTGCAAGTGACTCTGCCTGCTGCCCTTGCTGACCCTGATTGGGAGTAAGTGGGCGCTGAGTTGCTCCAGCACGCAGAACCTGGAAAAGACCAATATGAAACTTGTTCTTTGAAAGGTAATAAAGTAAGGCCGTTACATGCTAAGAAAGGTCTAGAACAGTTGCTTTGCATATTTGATGTCACTTAGCTCTAAATTTCATTTTGGGAATACTCCACCGTATTGGTTTCAAGGATATATATGTACAAAGAACAAAAGGCATAAACTCTTTTGCTGACAAATGTGACAATAAAAGATCTGCCCTGCACTGGACAGTAGAACTCGTGTATGGTCCATCAATGGTAATGAGTATAAAGTAAGGAAGAAAATCTGTAAAAGTGATACATTTATGATCTGCATTATTTATTAACTGAATATCTGTCCTTCCCTAATAAATGCATTTATTTACACTATTTTCAGGCAATTGAATGATATAACTCTGAATACTTCAGAGCTTGTAGTAACTTGTCTAAATAATTAACACTACACTGCCAACAGTGCCATAAAAAAATGCACCCACTAAGTTTTAAGAATTCACATAACACTCCATCAGCACGCAACACAGGCGTATTTTATTATGTTCTGGCAGCATCTCTCTGGCAATCTGATTGAAAAGCAATCTAAATTCTTGCAACTACTCTATTCTTCTTGGTTAAAATAATCTTTTCCAGGTCCAAAATAAGAGGGAAATACAATTTACAATATATCGCCACAAAATATCTTGTATGTGATTTGCATAAATTAAATATTAATTTCACAGAGACAGCAAAAAAAACCACTGGAGAGATGATATACATTCACTTATCAAAGCAGTTCACTGACAGCAACCATCAGTATGAGGAAAGATCCACCTGGATGTTGAAACAGTGATGAAGCTACTCTGGAACTTTATGGTAACTTGAAGTCACTTCTCAAATTTATAAGCATGGCATTGAAATTAACCATATTGCTAGTAAAAAAAAATTATATATATACACACACACACACACATTCGTTCAAGATCATTGTAAGATTTATGTTTTTCTTTTATGGAAAAAGGCCATTTGTTTATACCGAAAGATCATATAATGTTTTTTAAAATGCATCCGGAGTAACAATAGAAAATTAACTTTTTTTTAAAGTTACCTAAAGAAATGGAAATCTCAATACGTTCTTGTAACAATTGCTCACAATGATTTGCCTCACAAGGCAAAAATAACATATGACATATGGTGATGCTGTAATACAATTATTCTGTCACAAAACACCACCTTTATTTCCCTACTTTTTAAAGAGACAAAGAAAAATGTGTAACATGCCATTTTCCAGCTAATTAATAAAAATGCAGATCAATTTTTCCCCAAGCTTAAAAGAAAAATATCCTAGTAAAATTACTAAACCATCTCTTTTTATTCCCATGTTAGCTTTCCAGATGAGTTTTTAACTTTACATTATTAAGAACTGTACATGCAGCATTACCTAGACATAAACATAACAGTACAGTAACCTAGATTAAAGGAATTATTTTTAATGGGTTTTATTTTAAAAATTTGGACCGCAAAATAAGCTGAATATTTAGTATGCAGTAAGTGAATTTAAGACAATGATAATCAGTAACGTAAGGAAATTGAGAATCTAATATTCAATTATTATTTGATACAACACAACATCTGAATTACGTGCAATTTTCTAGAAGCTGATCCTGATATACTGAAAAGGTTAAGCTAAGGTATTAAATACACATCTCCTTTGTATGGAGAACATACCGGTTGCTGTCCCTGTTGTGCCTGTGAAGCTGCTTGCTGATTTGCTGTGGTATTTGCTGCTGCAGCTTGCTGCTGAAATAAATTGGCTGGATACACCCCCCATGGAACACCGTAATACTGAGGCGGAACCACAGCAGGACCTAAAACCAGAAAACATGATTATTCCACTTATTGCAGCTAGTTAAAGTAATTGTTTATATTGTTTGTACGTAGCATCCCTCACTGATCTATCTTCTAAATGTCAAAACCGAAATCAGTATTAAAAAGAAACAAATTCCCATATTAGCCAAAATGACACATGAACACAATGGGTTAATTTAAAGGATTCATATCAAAACATATCTTCTCTGTGAAATAAATAAAATATCCTTGTGAGACTCAGGTGACAAAAAACCCAAACAACTTAATCCAAGCTTGTATACCAAAGAACACTCAAAATCAGTTTCCACAATTGGAAAAAAGATCATTTCAGAGCATCACAGAGTGAACCAAATTAATCCTCCTGATAGTAATATTCTGAGACTTTGATCACCTATTATTCCTCCTTCCTGTAAATTTCCTTTGCTTATAAACATAACTATCACCTCTGCCTCCCCTGCCTACTACATCACACTCTTCAGAGTGGGCACACTTACCTCTTCCAGTCTATTATTAAAGACCCTGTAGAATAACGAGTTCTCTATATCATTGCATTGTACAAATAATGCGTTATGTATACACATACATTTTAGTTCTTTCTACTGCATTTCTTGTGAAACCACTAACTGGAGATACAGGGGGTTTTTTTCAAAATGTTATGCTCAGGTCTGGGACTTAAATACTCAGTAGTGCTGTGATATCTATTAACTTTTTGAGAGATTTTCCTGGGCTTGGGGTCTATCTGATGTCTGGGCCTTTTAGCACGTTGGAGACCATCTTTATTCTCATGCCCACTGGGTATGAGAAAACCTGGAATTAGAAAATTAATGCAGCAAGTAAAAACATACAAGGAAAGGCTAGCTGTCTCGTGTTTTGAAAATAATATATACTGCTAATATGAGATGAAACCTTATTACGGACCAACATTTTTAGAAAAAAAAAAGAAGCCTGATTGTTGCATACAGAAGTCCAGTGGAAAGAAATAATCAGAATCCATATAACAAACTGAACCCCTTTACATTTCAGTGAAAATTTTCAAAACTGAAATATTAATTTTCCTACAAGTCCCTCCTTCCTCAAAGTACTTTTACAGAGAATAAACAGGATGGAATTCAGCTTTTTTTTGTCTCATTTCATTCCATAAAATTATCAAGATAGACACTAGAAAGTGTTCAGTTACCTGCTAGGGTAGCTGCTGCAGCTAATCCAGCTGCAGTGTATGGGTCAGTACCTGGAGGAGCAGCACTGATAATGTATGGGTTTGGCACAAAAGCAGCTGGAGCCAAGCCTGCTGAGAATACGCCTGCTACAGTAATAAACAGAGTTTAATTATAGCTAAGCATCATCATATTCAAACCAATCAAATCACAAAGCATATCTGTTAAAATCAGAACTGCTTGTACTTTGGAAGTTTCTAAGAGCAGGCACACCATTACAGAAATCAACACTTCTATGTCTTCTTACCACCCCTTTTTTATTAATCCCAAGGCCTAACAGCTTTGTTTTGCTGGATCTACAGACTCCAAGGAAATCAATCTCATATGTATCCACCCATCTTTACAAGGGATTACTCAAAGTGGAATTTACCTTGCCCAACTTGTAACTATCTAAAAGTTACACTAGTCTTAGAAGTAAATCTGTATCAGACAAATCATCCAGTGTCTTAAGTGAAGCAGCCAGATAGAATGCATCACCTGATAGAGATACAAATCTCTTTTCACTGACAATAGGAAAAAACCTGATAGTTTAAATTAGCTACTTGGCTTTTAAACAGCCAGTTATGAGATGCTAATCTTACTTTCAAGAATCTAAATTTGATATAAGGATTATAATGGAAGGAAACAATAGAAGAAACTCTGTCATCAAATAAAACATCACTACCCAGAGTTTCCCCTGTCAGTCAGGTTCACGAACTTTTTCCAACACTGAGGCAGCAACTAGTCCAGCAAGTATGGCATAAAGCTATGCTCCTCCTTCCAAATAGGAGGCTTCTTGCTAAATTTCTATTAATATGCATATGAGAGGAGGCTGCATTTCAAATAGACAAGATACAGCTGACTCCTCAGTCTACACTTTATACAAAGTAGGGGTTTGTCTGCAGTTTAGAAGTCAAAGACAGGCAGAAGACAGGATTGTGGACCCACAAACATCTCAATCTGACATGTTCCCAGCTCTAAGACTGTAGTAGTCAGCTACATAACACTAAAGAGCTGCCACTGTTAAACCCCAGCTATAGGCTGCTGATCCCTGTCTGAACAGACCTCACAATCTAAACAAGCCGCTGGGAAAACTCAACTGTCACTATATTGCAGGAGAACATAGACATGTATCTTTGTAAATGCTGCTTCCTATTTCAGCCTGCTCTTCTGATCCAGAACTCTTTTTTCCTTGCAGAGGAAGGATATAAGTGCACACACTTAGTGTGTGCACTTAAGTGGTAGAGAGTGGGAAGGACAGGAATCTGTAAACTTGCCCTACAGCATCAGAATTCGAGGAGCTCCCTTCCTTAACTAAGGAATTGCTTCCAATGCGTGTTCCAATCTCCCTCACCCCAAACGCACAGCTTCCCCACAGCGGCAAGATAAAACTGTCATCCCTGAAATACAGCCTCCTGAGTTGCCACCACACTAAGAACTTTATGCATTTAATTAACTCACTGAATTACTTTAAAGGGATGGGAAAAAACGCCTGCTAAAGAATAATACCATCAACGAAAGGTACCTGCAAAAATAAAGGGCTATCTGTTGAAAAGGTGCCCTTAACAAGGAAGAATGAATTCATCAACACAAAAAATCAACACAAAATCCTACTATACAATGGTTTTAAACTGGATTATCAAAAATACTCAACCGCAACAGAATAACAGAATTACATGTATTTGTTATTTTAGTAAATAAAGTTAGTGCGTCTATCACTACTTATAGCAGAAAAGCTCTTTTACTTTTTCTCCCAAAATTCAACTATTGTACCACATAAGCAAAAATAATTAATTCTTTGTATACAACAGTTAAAAGTAGGCAAAAAATTACACAATAGGAAACTTTCTCTAAGGAAAGGATAGCCTTATGCAGTCATTCTGAACAGTTTTCAAGAGAACTGTTAAAAAAATGGGTCAATCGATCAGTATCTATTTGAATTAGAACACTGTGGGTAAACTGAAAGGATTATTCTGAAGCAACACACCCACTTTTGCCAGGGATGCCTGCTGTACTTTACAAAAACCTCACCTATGTGTGGCTGCTGAGCTGCAGCCAGGGCGTATTGCTGCTGCTGTGCTGCTGTTAACTGCTGAACAGTCAGAGCATTAGTCCTCTGGAATAGCTATTGCAAAAGAAAAAAAAAAAAAAAAAGATGCATTTCAGTTTTCAAAGGTCAGGGCTATAATATACTGGGATTTACTTACAAAATTATTTTAAACTTCTATCATACTAAGTTGCTAAACTAGAAAATGATGCACCAATATTCTTCCAAATTAAATATGCATTTATTTGCCTTTGACTAAGTCACATACAAAACAAGATTAAATGCATTATATGCTTAAATGACTGATTATCAAAGAGAGTAAGACAACTTATAGGACAAATTTGCAAGTTTTCCAAGTCCAGTACTAACCTGCTGCTGAGAATTGTAGTCAAAAAGTCCTACAGTAGCTCCTGAAGAGTCCATTTGTACCTGATTGCCAGGATAGTCAAACTGTAGGGAATCAAGACCAACTTGTTCCATGGCATCTAGATTCTGATTTTCTGGATTTGAAAATTCTTCTACCAGAGGCTTGTGGGCTGTAGGATTGGGAAGTGGACCTAATCCTTCTGTGGTGCTGGGATTGGGGCCCAAACGTTCAGCTACTTCTGTTGGGGAGGCTTGTCGACTTCCAGGGGTACGACTGTTTAGAAGAAATTCAAGATAGACTCTTCAGTCTTAAATAAAGCTGTCTACAGACAGAGTACAGCATTTTTATTTTAAAAGGCTTGCTGAACTCAGACTTTACAAAGGGAAGTGATACACTGATTTTAACAATTTTAACCAGCATGCATTGATGGCGCAAGATAAAGGGCACATTTAATTTCAAAGGACAATTCTTTTAAACTTTAAGACTATAAGGCTCTTCAAATCACTGCGAGAAAAACAAACTAATCTTTGAGGCTGTTTTGAGTGAAATGCAGTGAACTGTGGTCACCTGTAACTTTTGGGATGGCTCTTTATTGCATTTTTTGAAGTGACAGCAATTATTAGAAAACATATTGAAGAGAAATTAAAAAAAAAGGTAAAGACTAATTGCATCTCATACCAAAGGGGAGAGAGACAGACACTAAAACTTCCACTGGAAAAGACAAACATACAATATAGCAAGTATCTTTCTCATGTCAAATGCAAACAATACATTTTTTTACCTTAAGTAAAATGGACTAGTAACTACCTCACTTAGCATTTGACTAAAACATTTCATTTCCTATACAACTCATTTAAGAGACTACACTACACCAGATTATTGATCAGGGGAAAAAAAAGTGTTCCTAATATAATCCCACTGATTCCATTTCCATTTCCCTAAGAATAAATATAGCCTGTTGTTGCAGAAGAAAATCTTTAGGATGGAGCAAAACATAGGTGTTGGATTTCTGTTGACAGTAAAACAGAGATATGGAGTTGGAAACCATTTACTTCCCCACACCCCTGAAAGTTCAGTTTCCAAACATAAAGGGCTGGTGGCAATTGAGATGTAGATAGCTACAGTTAACACATCTCTAGGTGTTCTAGTGTTTTATGTTTCATCAGAGGGGATGAAAATCAAATACCATTGACAAAGTCTAGACAGCAACTCAACTGACCAGTCACTAGGGGTTTACTTTAGGGGAAAAGCTGAATTGTTCTCTCATCTCCACCGGCTGTATTGACTGCATCCCCACAGGACTACAGGGGAATCTCTGTGCACCTATAAACACCTATAGGCAAACACATGAAGTGAGACGACAACAGATTCATACCCTAAACAGATACTCAACCCTGTATTTGCTTAGATTTAGGGTAAAAGTGGTAATTCTAAGGTAGAGATACAGCCTTGGTACTACCTGTTCCCTTCCCTCTTCAGGGCTCCAAAGTTGAAGTATCTGTTCCTCACTGAAGCACAAGATTAATGCAAAGAAATCTGCTAGTACTTATGTATTTGCTGATACCAACTCTAAAGACTGCATAGCTAGAAAGCAGTCTTTTAGGGAGTTTATTCAACAATATTGTATGATCTATTACTTTGGACAAAATACTTCAAAGATAAAGCAGTTACACTGTTTTTAATGTAACAACCAACCTCACAACAATTGTCTATAATATATTGGCTAACATTTAAGTATCCTAGTTAGCAACCATGTCTTGCTCAATGTACAACTCAAAGTTGAGTCTGACGCCATTTAATATTCCTTATTCTTCCCAAGTGACATACCATATCAACAAAGTGAAGAACAAAAGGAAAAAGGCAGTTATTTCACTACATATATTAGTTTTTTAAAAAAAAACCCATAAGTACAATAAAAATACAAGGAGGAGGACAGGACAAAGTTTCTTGTTTACCTAATACAGGTTGCTCCTTATATTGGTGCTGTTCTGTTGCTATAGTTAAAGTTGTGTCAAAACTTCAATTATAAACCTCTGTTCAGAGGGCTTTATACTACCATTTCATATGGCTTTTTTTGTTTTGTTTTGTTTTTGAGAGAGAGGTTTACTGGCTTTGGATGCTTTTTTGCACTTGTATATTTTTTAATAGTTTCTGTAATACAAAAGGTACTTTGCAAGCAACTATTTCAAAATTGAAATAGATACTGGTAAAGAAAAGCAGAACAAAATTTATTCTACATTTTCTACATGTAATACTGAAGGTAACTGTTTATTGTGCATATTGCAGCATGCATCCGAAAAGAGCTAATTTGAGCTAATATGTTTGGTATTATATTATTTTCAGTAATACATTTTGAAAAATAGACCTGAAGAATCCCTCCTTAGCCTCAGGTAAATACTTTTTTTTTTTTTAAAGGGTAGGTAATACTTACATATGGGACTCAAACATGCATTTTAATACACTTGTTCAATTATGAACTAATGAAACCACAACTATTCGATCACGTTCATCACATTAATACAAATTTACGAGCAGCACTCTAGTTTTCTTATCTTGTTATATCTTCTGTATGACAGCTACAAATGCATCACAGTCATTGGAAAACAAAGATTAGTCCTTTAAAAATACCCAATTTAAAGTGCAGTTTAGTATTAGGAAAAAATAGGCTGGCTGTGCTGTCATATAGGAGTTCACAGTTCAAAAGCTCAAGCTTGGTCCAATTTTTTTCCCCCCTAAGAAAACAACCAAACCACAACACCATTCTATACTATGAATACGTGACATTTAGCTATGTGAATAGGGAAATACATTGTGTCTTTAGTCAAATAAATGGTTTCTATAAAGACTTTTGTGGGGAATTAATTGTGTTAGGCTGTGGTATCCACTAGGAAAACTAGAAGGAAAATGAAAAATTCTGTAGGACTTAATCTCTATAACAACAATTAGATGCAAAAGTTAGAGTATTAAAAAGCAGAGAGAGAAAGGAATTTAGTTTGAAATTAAAAGGGTTAAAGTTTTCATCCTTCTAATTCACCACATTTTGAAGGTACCCACTTACTTTGAATAATTACTATGTTAAGATGAATTTGTTTCATGAGAAGTGACACACACATTAATGACATCCTAAGAAACATGTGGCACAGTGGGAAAGGGAGGACGTGAGGTAGGAAGAATCAGTCTGCAGCTGGGTAATGTTTAAAGCTGACACACAAACCAGAACTGTAATAATGCCCTTAAGAGACATGCTTGTCTTCTTGAGAAACAGTTAAAAGCTTACTTAAAATCTTTGCAATCGGCATCCATTCCATTTGGCAAACCTCTGCCATTTATTTTAGTAACATCCTCATCATCTCCTTGTTTAAGATCTCTGTTTTTGTCCTCCTCAAATGGAGAAGCCTTGCCTTTCTGATCTCCTTTCTCAGGTCCATCTGTTTCAGCATCTCTAGTGCCCTGAGGAAAAAGAATCTGTTTGATTCTGAATATTGAACAGAACACAATAGGAACACCACAAGGTGACCTAATTCTACACTACAGTGCACGTAAACAATACAAACAGTTTGTTTTCAATGCAATTGCATTTGGTGGGTAACTTGGTCATCAAGTTTCAACCACATGCAATTAATAACTGCCAAAATGTGAAAAGGAATGCCAAGATTTATAATGGAAGAGCTAACTCAACCTTAACTATAGCGGTGCTGTTAAAGTAGTAACACTTCAAATTAGGTAAAGTTTATTTTATACAGTAAAATATCTAATACAAAACAAACCCATATGGAAACATAGACTAGGAAGATCTAGAATAAAGCCCATCGCACATTTTAAATTAAGCTATTTGCAATCTTTTTCCTATCTTTATTTAACAGTGTTGGGAAAGTACTTTTTTTTTCTTTTTTAGACAGCTATTTAGTCAAGATTCCCAAACCACTTCCCTCTTCTGCCCCCTCCAATCAAGGCAAACAGACAGATAGCAACTACACACTTCCTTCTAAAGAGAAGGATTAAAAAAGGAAAATGGACAAATAGAGTAGAAAATATAACCACGTAAGACAGTAGGACCATAGTAGGCAGCCAGGCAAGCTTAATGCACTGCATTACTTACAAAAGCTCCTTTCCTAAACCGGGAATCCAATTTATCAGCTGGAGAGGAACTTAACACATATTCTACCATGCTCACTCCAAGGCCACCACTTTCTGATCGTGGAGACAATACAGCATTTACTTCACTGTTTCCATGAAAACCCTGTCCAGGCTTTCTCTGTACCATAATAGGTTGGGACATAGAATGGTCTGTTAAAAACAAAGAAATAAATGAAACTATTGTATTTTTTTAAATACAACTTGTAATGTTTTTGTATTTCATTACAGAGGCAATATTAAGCAAGATCAAAATTAAATACAAAATTCCAAATTCCAGTTTCAAAAAGTGCTATTGGCACACAACCACCAGTGCAGTATACATTTTCAGAATTAAAGAAAAATAAAATTTAATACACAAGTAAAGTTTGTTATATTTACTTTGAAATAACATTTAGTAAACGTGACTGATTTTCCAATACATATACATCAATCACTTACGAGGAGTTCCCCATGCAGTCTCTCTCCACTCATCACCAAGGAATATCCCTTTTTGTCCATCTTTTGCTGAGTCATCAGGTTCCCAAAACTTTTTGGCAGGTAAAAGCTGTTCCAAAAAAGAAAATAGTTTTATTTGAAATACGCTTATAAATGGGAAAAGAATAGCCATACTATTAAGAGGATATGCAAGTAATTCATTTTAGATACCAAAGTCACCTTTACATAAGGAAGTATGCATTGCCAAGGAACAGTATAAACACTTGAAAGTTATGTTCTGTTACTGAAGCTGATGCTGTATAAAGAAATTGCTCAAATGTCCCCAAAAGGACTGAGATTCTGAAGTTATGAGGGAGAGATATAGAATATAGAAGCAGCTGTGAAAAAAGCTAATGGAATTAATTCCTGTGTTAAACCAAGTCAATCCTCTCAGAAACTTTAACACTACCTTTTCTCCATGTTGGCTCTAAAGCTTGACCTTTAACCAGTACTATCATAATAACCAGAAACAGCAGCAGTTCACTGTAAAATTCCGTTCATTTAGAAATGCATCATGTTCCAAATTGTAGAAAGCATAGGGATCTGCTGGTTACAGATCTGTGACAATCAAATTTGAAGTTCCACATACCAATGATTTCATGTAGCTGTATGAGTTTTTTTCATTACTATTTCTAAAGCAGGTTTCAAGTTAGACCAATATCATTTCTTGTACTGTCTTTGAGGACAGAAGATGGTGCAACATGACAGAAGCACCGCACAAATAAAAATACCTCGAACGTTAGCATTCTTTTTACTTTTATTTTATTGCTCTAATTTTTCCTGTTGGTAGCCATACAACTACCAAACTCCACATAGTACATTTTCTCTTGACTACGTAATTAAAAATCTGTATTCTCAGACTATATATTACATACTTTACAAGGTCCATCAACTGAAACTACAATGAAAACAGCTTGCAAAAAAATAGGGAAGAGCTCTGAAGACAGCATCATAATCCATCAAATTTTGCAAAATGTAGTGTTCAATTTATTTTTTTTTTCATTTAGAAAAACCAAATGTAATCTGATAAAGCTTTGTTTGCAATAAACAAGTACATTCTAGAGCTTTGATTCTCCTGTTACTTAAGTGACTAAAAACGCCTTTTGAACTTCATCGAACCATAGAATGGTTTGGGTTGGAAGGGACAAAGTTCATCTAGTTCCAACCCCCCTGCCATGGGCAGGGACAGCCTCCACTAGACCACACTGCCCAAAGCCTCATCCAACCTGGCCTTGAACAGTCCCTGAGAGGGGGCATCCACAATTGCACAGCTTCTTAGTATGACCCTTGATACTAACAAAACTATTTTTTTTTTTTTTTAGGTATTTCTCAATGTAGCATTGAAAGAGCTCATGAAAACACCTTAGAGAGGAAGGTAAGACTGCCATTAACAGGCCACTATTAACACTGAAACAGAGGTGAGGAGAGCTCCTCTAGAGTAACTGAAGGATTGCTGATTGCTCATTTTCTGTGCTGCCCAGAGCTCTTACCAGAAACAAAGTATTTTGAGTAGCTAACCTACTGAAATCCCTGGGTTCCTTACATAAATTCATTAACACAGATGGACACAGGGTGGAGGATAATAAACAGCCAAAGCTCAGCAAAACTACAGGAGAGTATTACACTTGCAAGAGCGTTACACTGTTATGGCCTGCCCTGACAGAGATACCCACCATGTCTCAACGCATGGGAGAATATCACCACCAGATATCAATTAAACATACTTTGGGAGCACCAGGATTTAAGTTTACCCCGAATTTAAGGTATGAAGTTAGCCAGAGAACAGAGAAATAGATTAATGGAATCTTACAACTGTGGTTCAACTAAAAGCAAGAGATTATAAATTTCAGATCAGCCTATGCAATGTACTCATCCTTTTTAGCTTTATATCGTAACAAGTTTGTGATACTACTTATTTCTCATTTTGTAGGATAGCGGTACAACAGAAGCAAACATTTCATAACTATGAAACCTTGGATTTGAGAAAGAATCACATTTTAAAAGCCGTTCAAGACAAGTTCAAATATGTGCCCAACTGAGATGAGAGCGGTAAGAAATACAAAAGTGAAGGTGTCACGACCTAACACAACCGTGTCAGAATAAAACAGATCACAAAATGACCATCACCTTAAAGTATGCTTACCCTGAAATTAGTAAATTCCACTATCAGACAGGTGTTCAGACAACATAATGTTAAGAACAATATGCAAATTTAGAGCAGAACACACTGCAATACTGATTTTGATTTCAAAACTCATTCATAGGATTTCTATCAGAGAAAAACCACTGTCCACTGGTAGAAAGTAGCAACAATCCTCACTGCAAAAGTACAGATTGTTTTTGGGGAGGGTTTTGTTCTTGTTGTTTGGAGGGTGTTTTAGGTTTGCCTTGGTTTGTTGGGCTTTCTTCTTTTTTTGTGTGTGGTTTGTTTGCAAAAACAAAAACAACCCTAAATATTCTCAAATTCCAAACAGATACATTCAACTGCTTGCAGTCTTCATATAGTCTGGTACACAAAGAACACAGAATATCATTAACACAAAACGTAATGCATCATGTATATCTCAATTAGCTAAATTTAAACTTCCTATTAAAGATCAAACAGATTTACAGAAAAAAAATTCATTAAAATTTCTACACAACAAAGTTGTCCCTCAAATATTTAAATAAATGGAATTTTTTAAAGTTTACAATTTTGCACCTCCCTGAGGGTCAGCAATTTAGATTATTATTTTTGACAGATGATGGATATGACATACAGTGTGCTCTTTTTAAAGGGATGTTTTAGCTATTGGATTGCCATATAAATGAGCAATCCTAGCAGCTGTCAACTATTTCATTGAGGAACTCAAAAAGAGAGTATTTTTCAGAAAAACAAACTAAGTGTGTTCCTCGAACAGACAAGAAAAAAACTCACTTGATTAATTCTACCAAAAAAAGACTTAATCAAGAAGTGACCACAAATTAATACAAGTAGCTAAAATCATCGTGCTCTACCCTTTGATAACATGTTTTGCTTGGTATTTCCTGCATTTAATGCAATAAGAAAAAGAAATTTTACAAAGACACATCCAATCCTAATTCAAAATAATGGAAAAGACTGTCGTATTTCTTACTAAGCTCTTCCAACAGTAAGCTAAAAAGTGCCTTTCAGTATCAGCACTGATCCCTGTTATATCTCTGCCAGATGAACAAAGCCCTTTTCTACACATAGATAATAACCAATTATGCTAAAGCTGCCTCTTAACCAGCTCTCTGATAAGTAACTGCACAGTCTTGATTACTGGCTTTTGAATTACGGATTATTTTTATTTATTTATTTTTAAGATCAAAAGTTATTCCTACAGAGCCGTCTACAATTTCTCTGAATGAAGTTTTGACACCAGAAATAGAGATATTGTCCCTAGAAAGAAACTTCTGTGTGCTTTGAACCTGTAAGTTTCTATAAGAATAGACATTATCAAAAAAAGATTTAGTTTTATATTCATTTTATGTAGGCCTGTATTAGGTCACACTAAAGGTCCTGAAGCCCACTATGCTGGCCCTGAAATAGCAAACAACAGATGCCTAGAGAATAGAAATAGCACCATGTGTCAGTTTTTCTTCAGAATATTTTCACGACCTTAAGGGTCATGATAGCTTTTGGGAGCTGAAGCCAGAAGCATCATCTGTGTTTAACCAATCTAACAGCTAAAATTTCAGGAGACATTTACAGAAAGATGCCTGCAATGCAGCAGATCTCCTGCTAATAAAACTTTCGTCTGTTTCTTTACAGAATAAATTAACAAAGAATTGCAAGACAGAAACAGATCAAGGAAATTGTACATCTGGCTCATGTTATGCTGTCCTGTTCCCGATACTGATTGATACCAGGCTCCATCTGAATGCAGCTCAGATGGATAGCTTAACAGAAGGATTTCCAGTATGTATTATTTCCAAAATGTGTTATGGTACAATGAAAACAGATTTCATACTGTATTTCTTTACATTAACACATGGAAGAGATACTTGCTTGAGGATTCACAGTCAGTCTTGATTTTAGTAATGATGTGAAAAGTAAGACTTAACAGCCTCCTAATGTTAAGTATTGACTCCCAGTCGGGGAAAAAAAGACCAAGAAGGATTAGAATTATGAACAAGAAATTAATTTCAGTTCAGAGAAAAATCTATCCAGACAGAGAAATTGAGGAAGAGAACAACTTCCCAATAGCTAGAAGCAGATCGCTTGCAATGACCTCCTTTCACACCTTTCAAAGTAGACAGAGGGCAGCACGTAAGAACACACAACTACCAATTCTAGCTTACAGGAGTATTTACGAGGACATTTCCTTTAATATTTTGGAAGGTTATAATAAAAAAGGTTAAAAACCCATGGAATCTATTCCAGAACTACTTTATTGTTGTGCAATACATTAAGAGAATTACTAAGTCAACCTAGCTATGTGAACCTGTAATACCTCAAGATACCTGGAAGACACCACTGAAATGAAAGACATAACCTATTAAGTGCAAGATCACAATATAGCATCAATTTCTGATGCTATATTACTGTACCAGAATTCTGGCTTTTTGTGCGTGGTTCTTTTGTTGTGCCTTTTTTTTTAAAACATCTTCACAGATCCACAGAATACCATGAAAACAAACAAAATTATAATCATGCAAAAATATCTCCCTCAATCTGAGATAACCTAAACCAAAGATCTGTATGAGCAGTTGTATCGACCCCAATTTAATTCCCAGGCATTTGTGACATGCTTCACTTTCACTGCTTTCAATCTTTCGGAGTATTTCAAGGGTGGCAAAAGAACAAATAGCACTATGAATTTTACCCATCTACTCTATCACACTGTTGGTACCATCACAGATAACTTACTAACACCGTACATTTCACAGGGAGTTTTAAGACCTAGGGGGGTGGGGGAAAGCAAGCATATTCCATGTGGCTACTCAGCTTTCTAAAGAACAGGGCTTCAGCTGTTATTGCTTTTTCAAATAGAAGATAATTCAGGAAAGTCAACATAGAACCCTGGATGATGCAAAAATTGCTGAAAAGCCAACTGATTGGTTAAATGCTTCAAAGTTAAAAAAAAAAATCAAGTAAGAGTTGCCACGTGTCAGCCCAGAAACGTTCAGCAGCTAGGACAAAGCATTTGGTTTTCATCAATAAGTTATGTTTTCTGTAGACATCACAGTCCCATCATCATTTTAAGAAAGTTAAGTTGAAATATTGTCACTGGTTCAATTATCAACTGAATTTGGTAAATATCCCGCAAGGCAAAAGGATCAGTATTTGAAATCTTAGGTCAATGTGAATTTATTTCATTACCACGTCCTGTCAAGGCAAGTAACCCTAATGCATGCTGATTACTTTCTAAACAGTTCAGAGAACTGCTTTTGAAGGAGCCAAGTCATCCTCCACCAGATTAATTCCCCACCCCCCAAAGTACACTGACTTAAAAACAACCAACCAAACCAATCAAAAAAGTCCTTCTTCCCTCTAGCTAAGTTATACAATAGCGCTCTTCACACTGGTTAAAATAATCTTTTGAGGAGTAATTACCAGTAAAAAAATAGTAAGTTACCACACATTTCTGCTACGGCATGCCAGTTTCACTTTCTGCAGAGCCAAACCTTTTTCAGATCCCAGTCTCCTTGGCTTCTCAGAGGTACTAAGCAATTGTTTCACTAGCTCAGATACAGTGACACTGAAAACACGCCTCATTTTATAGAATTGCACAAACTTTCAAACAATTTACCCTGTCACTTCCCAAGAGTATGAGTCATCTAAAAAGACTGACATAGTAACACAGTAGATCCAGTCAACAACCATCCCAGTGTTCTTGCAAAGTACTTAGTTTATCTTCACCTTAGAACAGAAGTCTTCAGTTGCCTGAAAAATCAATTTGGTCTTAAGAGAAGCACTTTGCTTCATGTCATATTATTTAAGACTTCTTAAAGCATATTGACATTTCCAAAATACCAACTGGATTTTCACCGCTCGATAATTACCTCTCCCATTCCCCGAGATTCTAGGGCAAGAGCTTGAAACTCATGATTCATCTCATCCACAGATCGAACCTGTAGGGGGAAAACCAAAAGAGCGATCCATTAGGCAAATATATTTTCAAAAGTTGAGTTTGTAACACTCCACAAGATTTTTGACAATTGAAAGCACACACAAAGTTTGCCACTCAATTTAGGCTGAACACGAGTTTAATTTTGTGAACAGTTAGTGACCAATTTAATGAACCATGCTAATATAATAACATGCAAGAAATTCTAAGAGACTTAATCTTCATATATCCAGATGGGTATCACTCAGTATGCAAACAATGACCAGCATTACATTTGCAACAAATGCAAAAAAAAGTGAAATTAAAGATTTGGACGTACAATATCCTTTGGAATTGCACACAATGTTGCTGAGTACACTTAGCAGCAAACAAAGAAAAGCTCAGAAGACAGGGCACAAAAGCTACCAGCAATGTATTGCTTTTAAGAATCTAGTAACTGACTGCATTATCACAGTTTCTCATGCTTTCTTCCAGGAAATAGTACTCTTCCTTCTTTCTGTGTTGTCTTTTTTTGTTTGTTGTAAACATGAAAGGTAAAGTACTAAAGCAAGAGTTGCTGCTGCAACAAACCACCTCCTTTTCCACGGCATGCAGACACAATGCACTGGGTGCATTCTTTCTTGAGAAAATTGTTTCCACAAGGAATTTTCAAAGCTATGACAAGCTTACAAAAACAAACAAAAAAGGGAAATTCGGAGCTGTTTCTCCCCTTCTTTCTCACAAATGAGATGCAGCAGGGTAAAACGGTAAAGTTATTCAAGTTCAAAGTAAAAGTAAAGTTCCCCTTCCAATACTGGTCTCTTCTGAGGAGTTAATTTCACCTAGTAAACCCATCTGATTACATTAACAAATAAACAAAAATGAAGTTACTCCATATAGCTAACACATTAAGATCACTTTTCAAAAAGTTCTCAAATACTAGGCAAAGAAGCAATCTTGTGCTTTTAATATTCTGGGGCAAATAACTTTCCCAATTCCTTCTTAGCATTGGAAAAGTTTTAATTACCTGTCAACACAAGCTCTATTCTCAAAATTCTACTCAAAATATTGTTATTGCCCCATAATCATTATAAGCCATTAACTTCTGAGGTTGAGTCTCTCTCTACTTTTGAGGAAGAAATTTCACAGCTCAAAGAAGTATTCCCTCAAAAAGAACAGTATTTTATTTAAGATGGATTCTGAAACAAATTCCCAACAATTTCAGCGAGCTACTGAAGAACAATTTTAGTTTCACAGTGAATTGGAGGGGAGAGAGAATCAGGACCTTGACCTTTTTTCCAGTGATGCTGACATTTAAGTCAATTAGGTTGATTTTGTTCTTTATAAAACTGAAAGCAGATTTTCATATACCCTTAAAAAAACCTAAAGACATTTTTTCAAATGAATTAAAAAATACATTTATAAATGATGTGAAATAAGCTTTTTATTAGCTCTGAGAGATAATCCAATCTTTGTGCACGCACATAGAAAAATTAGCTGTAGAAGAGAAATTATTTAGAAAGAAAAATCAGAAATTCAAATTTTGAAGACTTCTGAATTTGGATATTACAGTTTCTGAAAACATAATTTCTTCTACAGACAACTGAGAGTTATTTTACCAGAAGGCACTTCTCCACTTTAGTTTCAATTACAATCAAATAGTAAATTAGGTACTTCTGTCTCTAAAGGTGGTTTTGGTCTAACAGTCTTTCTAAAAATTTGTAGCTAAAGCTTGCCAAACTGTATTTACCATAAATACTACCCAAATCACTATTAGATAAAAAACAACAGTGCTTGAAAGATGTGCAAGTTTTTCAGTTGTGGGTTTGGTTGGGTTGTTTTTTTGGTTGGGTTTTTTTTGGGGGTGTGTGTTTGTTTTGCTTTTTTGCCTTTTTTTTTTTTTGAGGGTGGGTTTTTTGGTTGGTGGTTTTGGAGGTGTCTTCTTTTTTGAATTTCTGGTGGTGGTGGTTTTGTTTGGTTTTTTGTGGGGGGTGTTTGGTGGTGTTTTGTTTTGGAGGGTTTTGGGTTTGTTTTGGGGCTTTTTTTTAGTGCTGCAAGACCTAATACCAAATGCTTGTTTTTCACAATTCAGGCAAGATCAAAACCAGCCACACGCATTTTGAGTCATTGTCTCAAGAAAAGACAATCCAACAATCAGGGTAACAGCATGGCTAGCTCCTTTTTTTCCTGAGCAGTTCAGAGTCAACTCTAAGAAACTGAAGTTTTCTGAAACTGTAAATAAACTTTAGTACACTGAACGGATTTTGCTCATTGGCCCCTTTCTTACAAACATGAAATTTCAGTTAGTGTTATCTATTGCTATCAGCAGCAAGAGAAATAATACAGTCCTTTTACTGTCACAAAGAGGGTATCCATTTCCATCAAAACCAGCAGCCCACAGAATCCTGTCCCCTATCATGAATACATGAATTCACAGATCAGTTTACAGACTGGAGAAAATACAGGCAGCACTAATTAATATCTTCAGAAGATCGGCTTTCTTCAATGCTAGCCCTACCACTACCACAACAGAAGAAAACATCCAGAATGACAACCAAGCTAGATCTAATACGTATACAGACATGCCCTCTTCCCCAAATGAGAAACTTCGGTTAGGATCGTCTGTATTATCAGGAAGTTTTATCTTCTCCGATTCGAAGCCAACAACATTCACTTAATTCATATGCTTCAGAAATAAACATTTTTAATATATACTTTTTTTTACCTCAAACTCAAAACATCCAAAAAAGTTTTTTTCCTGGTTTTTGTTAATTAAATCTTTTTTTTTTTTTCCTTTTTCTCCTCCACAATCATTTTGAAGACTCTTCTTTCTCCATTTACCACCTACCTGCTTTTGGAATTACCTGCTAGATCTAATCTTAGTTTTCAAGAGTTGAATGCTAATAAGCCTTTCCAACTAAGAGAAGCTGGCAACATTTTCAAACTTCTGACACATATCAGATCATTCAACAGGGCTCCCAAATGATGCACAAATGGATACTACCAAAGCAGTCTCTAGGTATAACAATTCATCACACATTGCTGTTAAATAGATAGAACTGCTTAAGCGTATCCATGAACTTTTCCCCTTTGACTTACCAATAGCAAATTCTGATCTTTTTCCCCTTCCACAGAAACTGGATACAACATACCAGTATTAGTTCATTTTTCATCACAGCATTAGGAACGAGATTTTAACAAACAGTAAACCCAAAATTATATTATTTAGTAGACTCTTTTTTCCTAAAGTTTACACTTTCACCTGAAGCATACAAAATAATTATTTTAAACCTAGAGGCCTACTCAAAAACCTTCCTTTATCCTGTCAAAACTCCCAGTAAGAGTAGTTATCTCATTTCTACTGTATTGCACTACCACCTCACACTATGTCCGCAAGACAATCCTCAATCCTGAATGCTGCAACATTCAACCAATAAACTGAGTTCATGACAGAGCTGAGCACATCTAGCCAGCAACTGACCGAAAGGACAGTCTTTCCATCCTTCCTGCAACAGCTTTTACCACTCCCCTTGCAATGAACTTGGGAATCATCAAGTAAAAGGTTTGATCCAGAAGTTGTTTAGGGTTTTGGTTTTTTCCTTCTTTTTCCATGCAGGAGAATTTCACCAGATGAGCCAGCTGAATGGGCTGAAACATGACAGTGATGAGACCACTAGATTTGACATGGGAAAAAGAAGGAGAAACTGGTCTGGAGCAAGGTGGGGTAGAAGTACCTGCTTAGTGGCAGCTACATGACAAACCAGTAACATGAAACTGTGTCCTGACATAACTCAGGACAGAACTCAAGAGGCAAGACTGTTGACTGGATAGTCACAGGATTCCCACAAAAAAAACACTGCTTAAGATAATATCCATTTCTGGAATCCAGACACCCAGATCCAGATCTAGGGAAAAGTACTGTCTCCAATAACCCTCAATCCTGCTAGAAACAAGCTTCTAACCATCTTCTTACGAAAGCAAAGATTAGCCCCTTCTTTGAAAAAAAGAGTTGGAGAAAAATAGTAACAGAAATATAACATAAAAGAGAAAGACATGGCTTCATTTTATACATCAAAAGTGGTTAAAACCAGCTGACTAGGAAGTAAAGAAAACATTTTTTCCTGCATTAAGAAATTCCAAATCTCATCCCTCCCAGGTGAATATCCTAACCACTGTGACAAAGGAGGACACATTTGCCGTTGAAGCTGTGGTACTTGGCCAGAAATTCAACACAAAACACCTGCTAATTACCGTACTGTTCACACTGCTGATCACATTGCAAATGCTTCAGCTTTTTTCTGTATTTTGCTGAATGACTAATGCAAAATACCTTTCTAGTAGTTTTCTACAGGGGTGACTCTTCTGCAGCATTTATCTTATGTATGACATATGCTTATGGCAGAGACTTAGCATCATTAGCAACTTAAACTAATTTAAGAACAAAAAATGGCTATATTTTAAAACACAATACATAGCAATTCTGCCAGCCCTCCATTAAGTTAAACACTGTTTTGTAATGTCAGACACTTAACTAAATATTAAAAAAAAAAATCAGATAGGTAGCCAGCTTGAAACTACTAATGCAAGTTAAAACATTGGACACAAACCTATTAGAGATTTATAGCAAAGGACAACAAGGGAAAACTATACAAGCCTAAACTGCAAATCCCCAAACCTCTATTAAGAAATATTCAGTTCAGGGCTATAGAGATTTCTACTCTAGAACATTTGGCTAAATTACCTAAAACTTCATTATTTTGGTTTAGAGGCCAGCTGATTGTGCATCAAAATAACAAAAGCTGTTGAGCAGCTGAACAGGCAACTACTAGAATCACAACTGAACTGTTTTGTGCACAAGCTGGTTACAAAATACAAAATATTTTGTGTAACATTTTAAGAAAAGGCATTTATTTGGTTAAAGCTGCCTTTGGGTAGATGCATCTTCTCATACCTCTTTGAAGCATCAAGGAACCAAATGTTTGCTTGCTACCAAGCTGGCTAACAAAAGTTGCTGCTCCTGA